GCAGGCACACTGGAAGCAGGCCCAGTTGACCCCTGTCACGGCCCATCCCCAAGCGAGGAGAGGCAGGCACACTGGAAGCAGGCCCAGTTGACCCCCGTCACTCGCGGTGGGTGCACTTCAGGGCCCTTGGGCCCATCCGCATGCACATTGGTCCTGAAGTAAGCTGGCTACACTGACATGTGAGTCCGCCACCCCCAGCTCCTCTCCCCCACCCAGACAGCTTGGCGCCTTTTACGTAACTCGTGGGATTTCATAAAACTGGCAGCTGGTTTCTCCTGCAGTGTTAAACAGTCGCCAGGCGCCCACAGTCCAGGCTGCTCTGTTTACTCTAAAGCTCTCGGTTTGCTAGTCCTTGAACTGCCTTTGGAAGTGGAAGCGTCGTTAGTAACACCCTTCCTATTTTCTCGGTGAGTTCTACAGAGCTCTTTCTTGCATCTGTTTCTGTTAGAAACGGAGTTGAGTAGATGCCTTCACTGCAGGGAGTCTGCAGCATTCGAGGGGAATCTGCTGTCTGAGCATGACTGGAAGGTGCAGGGTGAGGGAGGGAATTTTGAATTTTGGAGTTTATTTGGTCTATGTTCTGGATGTAGTTTCAGCCATCCAGGGAACACCATTTAGCAACTCCGTCATTAATGTTGGGGCCCCTGATCTTGCGATTCTTCCTCCTCCTCCACCCTTCCATTCTTCCGTTGTTTTTTTCCTTGCCTTGCCTCTCCCCCACAGCACAAGCAGTCTGTGAGACGATCACCTCTGGCTCAGAACCCTTTTGAAACACCAGTAGGTTATGTATCTAAACTCCTCATCCTTTTGTAATTTTCTTTCATCCTTCTTTTAAACCGACTTTGTCATTCCAATAGTCTTCTTCCTAAGGAATGCTATAAGTTTCTGTCTTTTCTACAGTCTCTCTTCAAATCCAGTCTCCTTGCCCTTTTCACATTGTATATACGGTCTTAGCACTTCTTCTTTCAGGGACTTGTTTGGATACATATAATACTGTCTCATCAGTGCTATAGAAGAGGCCTGGATGGTGTATTATGCCAGTAGGTTGGTCCACTGTGCTAGGCGGTTCCCCCTGGACCAACAGCAGCAATATCACCTGGGAGCTTGTCAGAAATGGAGATTCTCAGGCCTCATCCCAGACCTGCTGAGTCAGAAACTGGTGCTGGCGCAGTAATCCTGTGTTAACAAGCTTTTCAGGTGACTCTGCTGGCTGCTAAAGTTTGAGAACCACTGTGCTCTGGAACCAAGGAGAGGAATGATTGCTTTCACTTAGACCAGTTCACAGATGTGGTAACAGTTGATTTGGGCCTTTGAGGGATAAACAGGATTTCATAAGGTAGAAGAGGAAAGGAACGTCGTGAGCAAGATGAAAAGTAGACAGGTCGTGTGTTTGGGAAGCTGCAGATAGTTCAGTGTGACTAGGGCATAAGGTTTAGGGGGAAGGAATTAAAGATAAAGCTCGAAAATTAGGGGTGAGGCTCAATAGTTCAGGTCTTTGAGTTTAGAGCAGTGGTTCTCAAGCTCATCTACACATTGAAATCACCCAAACGACTTAAAAAACAAAACAAAACTGATGTCCCCCTTGCCCGCATTGTGACTTTATTGGTCTGGGATGTGGCCTAGGGTGTGGAATATTTTTCAGATCCCCAGGTGATTCTAACATGCAGATGTGTCTGGGAACCACTGGCTTAGACTCTTCTGTGTGTGGGGAAAGATTTTTTTTTAGTACCAAAGTGGTATGATCTGATTTATCTTTTAGAACAGTAATTGGTGAAGGGAAAGAGAATGGAAATAGGGCAACCTACTTATCCTTCACATTTCAGATAATTGGCCTTTAGGAAACCTTCATAACCATTTTCTTATCCTTCAACTCCAAGTTAAATGCATCTCCTGTGTGCTCCTCTGGCAATGCCTTCTTTATGTTTGCACCTATCATACTATGTTGTAAAAAAAAAAAACCAAAAAACCAAACCCATTGCTGTCAAGTCGATTCCAACTCATAGCGACCTTATAGGACAGACTGGAACTGCCTCTTAGAGTTTCCAAGGAGCGCCTGGTAGATTCGAACTGCCGACCCTTTGGTTAGCCATAGCACTTAACCACTAGGCCACCAGAATACAGTGTCTGGTACAGAGTTGTGATCCCATAAACACTTATTGATTAAATGACCAGTTGGATGATGGTAGGAGCCCTAGTGACGCAGTGGTTACAGCACCCACCTGCTAACCAGAAGGTCAGGGGTTCAAACCCACCAGCAGCTCCACGGGAGAAAGATGCGGCAGTCTGCTTCTGTCAAGATTTACAGCCTTAGAAACCCTCTGGAGCAGTTCTCCTCTGTCCTGTAGGGTCACTGTGAGTCGAGATTTGAGTCAGTAGCAGTGAGTTCGGTCTTTGGTTTTGATTTTGATGATTATGGCAATAATTTAGGTACTAGATGATGGGGACATAATCAGAACTGTGGCCGTAGGGAAGATGAGAAGGGAGTGATCCAAGCACTGCTTCAGATGTAGAATTCATAGGCTGTGATAACCGGGAGCGTAGCCAGTAGAGGAGAAGGCCCGGTCCAGAAACGGTGAGATTTGTAGCTTGAGTAACTGGTGGTGACATTAACAGAGGGCACGTGAGCAGAAGAGTAGATCTGGGGAGGAGACAACACATTTGGTTTTGTGTAGGGTTTGAGGTAGCGGGGAAGATTAGTCAAGCTCTAAGATAAAATTGGGAGTAGAGGTAAATATTTAGGAGGCAGCAGTATCTGAGTCGGTTGTTCTCAACCATGGCCGTACATTAGAATTAGCTGGGGAGCCTTTACAGAGTTGGCAGTGCGTGGCCCCACTCCAGACGGATGAAATCAATCTCTGTGGGCTCGGGCCTAGGTACGAGCACCTCTTTAAAAAAACCCTGTAGGAGATGACTGTTGTGCATCGGGGTTGAGACCCACTGGTAGAGGTGAAAGGAATCGTTTGGAGCCAGAAAGGAGGAGATTGGCTGTAGCACCTGGAGCGACACTAACGTTTAAGGGTTAATGGATGGAGAAAGCCAGCGGAGACCCTTTGTGGCCAGGATCCTGAGTCTTGGTCTTCAGTGCCCCACTTCTCTAAGGTTCTAGTGTTGGACCCACGTGACTTCTGGGCATGACTGTATTTCCAGCAGAACCTGCATTAATCTGCTTCTCCTGCTTCTGGGAGTTTGCAGCAATTCCCTTGCCTCCCCATCTGCCTCCCCCTAAAACCCGGACACGCTGAGCTGTGCGGATAGAATCCTAGTAGCCTACAGATGGTTCTTGGTACTAAACAGCAGGAGGCTGGGAGAGGGTACCAGCGGACGGCACCTCCCGCGTCTGGTCACAGCTGTAGGTTACTCACAGCCCAGTGCTTTCAGGTCTGTGTTCAGTCTGTCGTTCTCTCGGGCTTTGTGGTATAATGTAAGAGGACGGAGGAGGGTTTCCTACTGGGCAGAAGGAGCTGGTGGATTCTCATTTGCACTTCCTTCCTCCTCTGTTCCCTTCTTCCAGTTATAACAGTGATGTCTCAGCCTCCTGCTCTCCAGTTGCGTTTGTGACTTTTTTCATACAATGAAAGGACTGGATAAAGAGGAGTGGGGTCCTGTAAACAATGCCGGGAATGGAGGGTAGAACTAGAAGGGGCTTCCAGACCTCCTAGGGACCAACTGAGGAGGAGTCGAGAAGGGGAGAGAAATCTCAGTGAAGCCACAGCTCTCAGGAGTCTAGGGATGAGGTTGGTCAGAGAGTAAAATCTGTGTCCTCTTGGCTCAGTGAGAAAAAAGCGGTAAGTTTGAGATGGGGGTGTTATAAGTCAGTGAGAAAAATGGCATTGCAAGGAGCTGGGTGGGCAGGAAACACAGGTCGAGCTCAGGTTTGTAGACCGTCATAAAATTAAGATTAATGAAACATGATTTTTGCCTTCAGGGAGTTTTCAGTCTAATGAGGGAGACATTTGTGTAAATAATGGAATGGCAGAATGAAATAACTGCCAAATAAATAGGTGTACAATAAAATAAAGTATGTTCAGGGAACAGCCAGCAGAACGATATGGTTGGAGCATGTGGTACACGGAATGACGATGAGTGAGGCTGGATTTTCACGCTCCTGTTTGTACCGCTGGTGTGATACGGGCCATCTCACGCAGGCCCAGAGAGTCCTCAGACCTGCAGGCTTTAACTGTATCAGCAGGGAGGGACCTGCGTCCCCACTAAGGGCCATGTAGGATTCACCCCTGGAGATATTTTTCTGACTGCAGATGACTACCTCTCACCCCGTTTGAAGTTCTGAAATGACCCCTTGGCTAGAAGTACTTCCATCGGGAACCAGTGGTCTTGTGAGGCTGGGCTGTCTCTCAGGTGTGTTGTGGTAGAAAAATTGGAGAACATGGCCCTGTCTGTCAATTCCCCCGGGCAAGCACCGTGTGATTAACTGCTTTTCCATTTCCCTACAAGTTCCTGTTGGGGGCTCTGAAAGTAGCTGGCTGACACTGTGTGGCTGTCATTTCCCACTGTAACTTTCACAAACCCCGGTGGTTTGGTCAGTTGATTTTGACCATCTGTGACACCCTTAGAATAATGAGCCTAAGCGTCTGACTTCATTGCTTTCATACAGAATCCTTACCACGGACGGGCTCATCGAGGACATTAAGCGAAGGCGTTACTACGAGAAGCCGTGCCGCCGCCGGCAGCGGGAAAGCTATGAAATCTGCCGGCGGATCTACAACACGGAGATGACTCGCAAGATCAACTTCTTGATGCGGAAGAATCGGGCAGATCCCTGGCAGGGCTGCTGAGGCCCTTTTGTGTCTCTGCACCCTTCCTTTCTCGAACCCACTTTCTCTTCCCCTTCTCTGCAATAAACCCAGCAACATACGTGCAGGAAGGCCTACGCCTGCAGAGGTAACCCCGCTAGTCAGCAGTGGACCCTCTCTTATTAAGCGAAAAAGAAGCTGAGTCAGAAGGCAGTTCAGGAGCAGTGAGGAGATACTCTAACGTAGTAGAGTATGTCTGCTATTTCTTACCCAGTTTTTATGAACCCCAAAGCAAAATCTTACTAGTGGAAAAGTATCTGTTACTCTGTACTGACTCACTCCCCCTCCCTACTGTGAGGTCAAGAGGAGAGGAAGCCTGTATGTACTGGGAATAAACTGCTTCTTAAACACTCATCAGCCCGAAGGAATCCTTCAGACAAACCTAACCTAATGTTCACTTCTTTTTCTGGCTTTCCTTTAGTTTTCTATTATTTGGAGGCTAGAGGAGGGATAAACCAAACCCGTAGCTGTTGAGTTGATTCCGACTCATAGTGACCCTAGAGGACAAGGTAGAACTGCCCCATAGGGTTTCCAAGGAGCAGCTGGTGGATTTGAACTGCCAGCCTTTTGGTTAGCAGCTGTAGCTCTTAACCACTGTACCACCAGGGCTCAGAGGAGGGATAGTGGAGAAGAAATAAAGCAGTAGATGGGTGGTAGGAAAGAGAGGAAATGGGGCAGTGTTGATAGAAGAGCCCAGAATCAGAAATACTGTAGTGATGTCATGGGGGACTTTGAAATGCAGCCACTCTGAGCTTCCTGATCCTAAATGGAGCAGGACCCTGAGTGTTTTAACAAGCTCTGCAGGTGGTTCTCATGCACACGAAAGCCTGAGAATGACTGCCTTGCGCTCAGAGATTCCGGGTGGAGACCCACCTCCGCCTCCACCTCTCCCGGGTTGGCCTCCTGGCTATGACTGACAGCTGGGGGCATCTGCTGTGGGAAGACCAGCTGCTCTGCTTCCTCTCCTGCTATCTATTTCCTCTGGCCGCGGTCCCCTGACAGCCATGCTGCTATTCTAGGGAAAGTCGGCGCCAAGCCCTGCGGGAGGACACAGTGGGAGGCGGAGGTGGCTAGCCCAGCCCTCCTCACCCAGGCTGCCGGCTCTCAGCATGGTGTGACAGAGGGAAGTAAACAGAGCCGCTGCCAAGCTCCTGCCTCTCCAGACTGCTCATGTTCAAACGTCGCCCCCTGGTGGTGAACAAGAGTGGCTTGGAGTTGCTCTGACCTTAAGTCGTTGAAGTATCTTTTCTCCCTTCACAGTTCCCATTCTTACTGATTGATTAAGCAGGGCCTGCAAGAAGATATTCTGGAACCACTGGTTTTTGTCTCAGGGCTTGATCATCCTTCCTCCGGTCCTCAGCAGTGAGGCCCATGGTGAATAAAGCGTGTATTGGGCAGTGGCGCACATGGATATAACTTCCACACTGAAGATCTCGTCCTTGCCTTTGGAAACTTACACTGGGGTCGGAGAAATTCTGTATACAGCTTCTTTTCAATTTTGTTACTTTTGTACAACCTGTACTTTAACAAGTTGTATATTGCTACTTCTTAACCACTTTTCAGTCACTCAGCTTGGTCTTTGGTGACATCACGTGTGATTTCGAGCCACGGCATGGTGTCGCTTCCTGCCTGGCCTGTGCCAACGTGGTGGGGCATGTTTATGGCAGAACCAGCCTCTGCTTGGTGATATCCCCTGGCCCCTTCTCCTGAGCTCCCTTCAGAACACTAGGGCGTCTCTGATAGGTGTCCCCTGCTTGTCCTCATCTCCAGTCCTGACCATTGTCCATGCCCCCCCACCCACCCACACAGAGCAGTGAGCACTGATGGGTTTTTTAGCAGGGAGCCAGTTGAGAGGCCTCATGTGTGAAGAGGGTAGCTGGCCAAAGTCCCATCTGCTTGTGTTTCTCCCACTCCCTGCCCTGGGAAGCTAGGAGGTAACTGCATGGTGGTTTAAGAGTTGGGGTTGCTCTAAACCTGTCCCTGCACTGGGTTCAGGGAGGGATGGTTTGGTATTTACCCAGTTACTGGGTGACAGACGCAATACTTACACTGTCCCGATCCTGGGCACCTGTGAACTCTCTTGGCAAGTCACTGGATTGTCTCTGGCAGGCCTCCTCCAGTCATAATTTAAGAATCTTATGTTTGTGTTCTAGAAACAGGTACCCCTTTAAAATTGGGACTCTGGAGTAACTTTGACATTCTACTTTAAAGTTTCCAGCAGTACACTAGTATATGCCAACTGAAAAATACTAAGGAATAACAATTCACTGTATACTGACAGAAGCCCTGGTGGTGCAGTGGTTAAGAGCTCAGCTTCTAACCAAAAGGTCGGCGGTTCAACTCCACCAGCCGCTCCTTAGAAACCCTATGGGGCAGCTGTAGTCTGTCCTGTAGGGTCACTGTGAGTCAGAATTGACTCGAAGGCAATGGGTTTTTTTGGTTGGTATACTAACAAGGTAAATGATGGAATTACATGTTAATGTAGGTAATTGAAGGGAAAAGAAAATGTTGGAGCTTCCACTATACGCGAACTACCTACATACATAATCTTTTAGTCGAAAGAATCTGGATTTACTTGTAATTTTGGCAACTTGTTTAACATAAACCCTTGTTTTTCCTGTAAAATGGGGATAGTGGTATCTACAGGTTTGTGGTGAGGGTGAAATGAGATAATGCATGTCAAGTGCTTAGCACAGTGTCTGGCACTTAGTAAGAACTCAGATGTTAGCAGCTAATAATAATCCCCCAGTTGTGCCAGCCAGAAACCAGATCCGTGTGTCCTCCTCTTCACCCAGTCATCACCCAACCAAACCCATTGCCGTCGAGTCAATTCCAACCCACAGTGACCCTACAGGACAGAGCAGAACTGCCCCATAGGGTTTCCAAGGAGCGACTGGTGGATTCCAACTGCCTACTTTCGGTTAGCAGACGAGCTCTTAACCACTGCGCCACCAGGGCTGCCAGTCATCACCAGCACCTATTTATTCGTCATCTCTTCCAGCTGTGTCTACGACTTCGTGCCACAACTCGAGTCCCAGCTACCATCCTAACTTTCCTGGATCATTACAGCCGTTTGACTGGTCTCCCTGCCTCAGTGTTGCCTGGCTCCAGTCCCTTTGTATTTAGTCAGAATAATTGTTCCAAAATGCAGTCCTGATCTTGTCACTTTCCTGCTTAAGCTGGTAGTTGGTTCCTCGTTGCTTTCAAGATGAAATCCAGACCGTGGCATTTAAGATTCCTCAGGACTGAATCATGCTTTTCCTTTTCCCTGGAGCCATTTGTCCCTCAGACACACCCCTGGATCACAGCAGTGCTGTTCTCTCCTCTCCTCCCATCCTCAGCGCTCAGTTCGGATGTTCTCTGAGACGCCCTCCCCGGTGCCTTTGTCAGGTGCTCTTCTCTGTCTCTTGCGTCTTGAGTTTACGTCTGTGACATACACGGCTCTGCCTTTTTGTACCACTGTGGTTCTGTTGCCTGGTATAGTGCTCAGCATTTATTCTCAATAAATATTTCTTGAATATATGGCAATAGCAATTATTTATTGAGGCTTACTATGTGCCAGGCACGTACTAAATGTGTTTCATGATATGTTTAATCCTCACAATACCTTCTGGGAGAAGAGATGATTATTCTCATTTTACAGTTGGGGAAACAGTCTCAGAAAAATTAATTACCCCAAGGAGTCACAGCTAGTAACTGGGAAACAAAGGATTGAAACCCATGTGATTCCAACAATTGGAAATAAAATCAGTTTCTAGAAAAATACTTCCCTGTGGGAATTCAACGCAGACTGTTAAAAACACAAACAAAAATTTACAACTATCCTGCTAAGTTGGAACTCTCTGACCCGTTTAACTGACTTTTTGAGTGGCTATTATGAGTGAGACATTGGTTTCAGGTATTGTAGAAACAGTGAGGACACGGGCAAGAGTGAGTAAGTTGAGCAGCACGTTCGAGTTCGCCCAGCTTGGTACTCAAAGCGGGGCTGTATTTTATCCTGCTGCCCCATCAGGGCAGGTGGGTTTTGGCATTGATTTCTCAAACTTCTAAAAACCAGCCTATGATAGGAAAATCTCATGCTCCCTGGGAAATTCTAATCATAACCTTCCTAGAGAACAACTGCAGTTTCTGGTGAGCTTACCATCCAAGAAGGCATCGTGGAATTTTAATTTCTGTAGTTTGCAATCTGAAAATACAGTTTTTCATTTCTCACGTGACATTGTGTCATACTGCTGGACACACTTTTTCAAACTACACTCTGCCCACACCTGCTTTTAGAATCGTTGGTTTAAAGGGTCAGTAGGTTTAGAGCCTCATTTGGAAGAAAGGGAAGAATACACGCTTACGGATAGAATGAAGAAAGCTGTACTGGCAGGTCTTACTCATTTGAGTACCTACTAGGTCTGGCATTACCATAGGTCAGGGACTCAAAAGACATGATACAATTCCTGCCCGTAAGGAATTTCCATCCTTTAGGCAAAAAATAGACTTCCGCAGGTGCTGGGGCCTACAAGACCCACTGCTGAAAAAGATTGAGCCTTTAAATTCAAATAAACCAAAAAACCCAAACCCATTGACATTGACTTGATTCTGACTCACGGTTACTCCATGTGTTACAGAGTGGAACTGTTCCATAGGGTTTTCTTGGCTGTAATCTTTACAGAAGCAGATTGCCAGGCCGTTCTCCCTTGGTGCTGCTAGGGGGGTTCGAACCACCAACCTCTAGGTTAGTAATTGAGAGCATACCATTTGCACCACCCAGGGATCCTCTAATTCAAACATTAAGTATTCCATTGTGCCAGGTGCTGTTGCAGGCACTTAGGTTATATCAGTGAACAAAACAAAGATCACTGCCTTCGTGGAGTTTACGTCTGAGTAGGGGCAGCCTTAATAAACTTAGTTTATTATGGTCATGCTGAGTTTGAGATGTTGATTATACTTTTGGAGCCCTGCTGGTGCAGTGGTTAAGAGCTATGGCTGCTAACCAAAAGGTTGGCAGTTTGAATCCACCAGCCGCTCCTTGAAAACCCTATGGGACAGTTCTGTCCCATAGGGTCGCTGTGAGTCGAAACGGACTCCCAGCAATGTTTTGTTTGTTTTTTAAATACATTTATGTGTTGCTGTTAGCTGTCGTTGAGTTGGCTCCCAACTCATGGCGACCCCATGCACAGCGGAATTAAACCCTTCCCGGTCCTGTGCTATCCCCACGGTCAGCTAGTTGTGATCCGTAGGGTTTTCATTGGCTGATTTTTGGAAATAGGTAGCCAAGCTTTTCTTCCTAGCCTGTCTTGTCCGGAAGCTCCACTGAAACCTGTTCAGCATCTAGCAACACGCAAGCCTCCAATAACAGACGGGCGGTGACTGTGCATGAGGTCATTGGCCAAGATTTGAACGCAGGAATTCTACCACGGAACCACTGTTGTCCCTACATTTCTGTAGGCAATTGGAGATCTATGTGGAGAGAGAGATGTACACAGATCTCCGATTGCCTACGTATTAGCGAACTGCCTACATACCAACGAACGCTAGTGATCACTTATAGTAACAGGCGGTCAATAGCTATTTCTTCTGTTAATGAATGAAGGGAACAAAGGCACGGAGGGGGGGCTGCTTCTTCAGACCCTTCTATACTCATCTTTTTTCATATATGTTTGTACTACCATGTATTGAACTCCGTGAGCAGCACTGTTTTAAGCGTGTCGCCCTCATTTACTCGTTACCTTCACAGCAGCCCTGTGAGGTGGGTTTCTTTCTTTCTTTTTTTGATGTATTGCATTTTATAGGTAAGGAAACGAGGGCTTAAGCCACTAGCTTAATGTTATACAGCGAATGAGTGGGAGAGCTGAAATACAAATCCAGGCAGCTGGCTTTGGCGCCCGAGCTCTTAATCACCCCGATTCACCGACTCTCCGAGGGTGCCCGGCACCGTTCCAGGAATAGGGGGTCAGGAAGCGCTCTGTTAATGAACGCAGCCAACAGAGGCGCGGAGCGGGGCTGCTTTCTTCAGAGTCCTTCTGTACTCGTCTTTTCCCCCGTGATCTCTGGCACCACGGTGAAGTTAGGACAAGCGAAGGCGGGGGAGCGAGGAATAGTGATCACCACCCGCTCAGAGGGTTTGCTTTCTACCAGAAAGACCGTGTCCGAGCCAAAGGCAGAAGCCCCGCTTTCAGTTCGTGCTTAACTTTAGCTTCGCGGACTTCCGCTCCACGCCAAGAAAACTGCTAGCAGTCCGCTCTCCGCTTCGGGGAACACGGACTTCTTTCCAGTCATCTGGTTAATAGATAACCCGACTCCTCTAGCAGGGGAAACGGACGGAAGCAACGGCACTGGGAGAACTTGAAGGTCCCGCCACGCACGCGCCCTGCCGCCGGCGACGCGGCCACTACGGCTGCGCGCCTCGGCGGCCCGGCCCTCCCTCGTCACACGCTGGGAGACAGCGGCGTGGCGGCGGCTGTGGCGGCAGCGACGGCGAGCCGTGCGGCGGCCGGAGGGTTTCCGGTTCCGGTGTAACGTTCGGGCTCCGTCTCAGGGGCTGAAGTTTGTGAGGTGAGTAGTGGCCCCGGGCCCAGAGAGTATTCCCCGGTCCGAGCGGCCGGGGCCGGGGCTGAGCCCTAGAGGGGGACCGGGCGAGCGGGCTCAGCGGGAGGGCAGCTGAGGGAAGTCCGGGTTGTGTGGGGGACGGGGCTGCAGTGGGATTGTTGGGAGGCACTGGGCGGGGGCGAGAGGGGACGGGGTGGGGAGAGCAGCTCCGAGCTGAGGAGTTCGGGTGTAACCAGGTGTGATAGGCGGCGGCTGGCGTTTAAGCCGAAAGAGGTGGGAAAGAGTGAAACCAGAAGAATGAGGGTTTCAGGGTAGACTCCGGTTGTGGAAAGCAGAGCCCAGAGTAAGGAATCATTCCTTCAGAAGATGAGAATGTGCTCCCTGCTCATCCTGCAGTCCTGCCTTCCTCCTTCCGCACCCCAAACCCCACCCCGCACCCGTAGTTATTGTTGTACATTTGTCTGCTGAGAAAGCTAGGTACTCTCTGACATTTTTCTTTTTGTCCACTGGCTGTTTAGTTTGCACATCATTTTATGGAGGCTTGGGCTGAACTTGAATACATCTGTTAACTGTAGGGCTTGGGCATGCGTTTCACCTCATGATAAGGGTACCTCATTTATTGCTTTGGGCTTTCAAATTCCGTCCACTTTCTAGCCTATGATTCGGTTCTGGTGGAACTAAGCTCCATTGAGGTGAGAATTCTTACGCGTTTTGTTCACTGCTGTATCCTCAATGTCCAGTATGCTGCTTGGCACTTAGTAGTTGCTCAAGAAATATTTGTTGAATGAATTAAGGAAGATGTAGATATAGCAGTTGTCCTCATTTTGTGAGGTGAGTAAACTCAGGCTCAGAGGAATTAATTACTTTGCCCAAGTGCTAATGGACTGGTAAATGTGGGGTTTGGTGTCCCAGATGTTCAGTGTTCTTTCTATCCTGCTGAGCTTTTTTCTTCACTCTCATGCCCGGAGATGTGTACCCTTTGCGGTACCTGAATATGCCTCCAATCTTTTTTATTTAAAAGTAATGGACAATTAATGTGTGGATGAACGAGCCCTGGTGACACAAAGGTTGAGCACTTGGCTAACTGAAAGGTTGGCAGTTCGAACCCACCAGTGGCTCCTTGGGAGAAAGACCTGGAGGTCCGCTTCCGTAAAGATTATAGCCTAGAAAACCCTGTGGGGCAGTTCTCCTCTGTCACATGGGGTCGCTATGAGTCAAAATCTGTTGGAAGGCACCCGACAACAGCAATATGTAGATATTGCTAGGCTGTACTGTTATCCCATTGTGAGAGAATAGAGCCACCATGGAATTTATTCATTTAACAGTCAGTGAAGCACATATTCTGCTCTTATACAGCCTTTCTCCCTTCGTTTCATGACTGTAATCTACTAACTTAATTTGGTTGTACCAAAATTAAGTCTACTGTTTGGCAAGAGATCTTACAGAGAGTAAATCTGCCAAGGATGTGGAAGTTATTTAGACTGTATCTTTTAAGAGAAAAGATGTCTTAAAACATCTTGAAAGACTGAGTTCCAGGTCAGACCCTGATGCATGGTGCTGCTGGGAGGAGGTTAGCTTGGACACTGAGGTCAGTGCAGTATATTGTTTTCTAAGCACTGTGGAGAAAATCAGAGAAATAAAATTTTGTCTACACTCATGAGGAGTTTTGAGATTTAGGCAGAAGACCAAAATGTAAACATGCATAATGTTTTAAAATTATACTAACTTGCGTTATTAGTAAGTTAAAGATTTGTTGTGGAGAGTTGCAACAACTCTGACTCTACGAACTCCACTATAAAAGGCGGGCAAACCTTACTCGTCGCCAGCCACTTCACATGGCACTTCCTCTCTCTGACTGACCACTCAGGCTTAGATCAGACCTCATCCCCAGCCGCCTTGAGCCGGGTTAGAACATGCCTGGCCACCTGAGCCCAGGTCACAGAGGACCAGCCATAGGCTCAGGAGTCTGTACAGCTCCCTGCACTTCACACCACTATGCCTCCCTCTTACTCTCTCTAGTCCCCTGGGACTAGGTCACAAGCTATAATATTTTTCTTCATCACTTGCCCATGCAGCCTTTCCCTGACTACCAGCCACCCAGAGCTGGGGCTACACAAATTGACTCATTGCCCCTGTGGATTCATCAATTCTGTATAAGCACTCACAAAATTCATGGAGACTATTACCTATACTTAGAGTTACCCATTTATTAGAACCGGAAAGGATACAAGCGAAGAGGCGCATCAGGCAAGATCTGGGAAGATCCTGGCACAGGGCCTGCATTGTCCCCAAGGACATGTCACCCTCTCCCGTTCATGGACGTTCTCACCAATCCAGGAGACCGAAAGAGCGTGCTCCAAGGTCCTGGGTCCCCTAGTCATTGGGACCTCAATGAGTATGCGTGACTTGGACCTTAATGCATAGTTGTGATTGATCCAGTCAATAAATATGCATAACTGCATCAGGTCTCCTCCCTTCCTGAAGTTAGTTTGCCAGGTATGGGGCCTGCTTGGCTGTTTTGGAAAACAAAGGCGTCTTGATTGCTTGGGTGGTTTTCAGAAACAGAGTCAAAGGGCCAAACCGAGTTTTTGTCCCACAAGAGTCCTTTATGGTAGTGTTTTCTCTGCTGAGCTAAAAAGTACAACGGAGGTGAAAAAGAGTGCATCCAGAATGAGGGTATTCATTTCCCAGCTGAGGGATTACTCTGATCAAGTCAGCTGTCAGAGACTGGGTAGGAGAACGTGAGAGAGAGTTTATCCTCTGGTGCAGAATTCCCACTACTGAGAAATGAGGCAGAACATTCTTAAGGATTAAGCTCTAATACAGGATCAACGACCTGGATAAACCCTCCTTTATTTGCATTCCTTAAAAAGAGGAAACCCATAGGTCAGAACTCTTTTAGGGAATGCCTCCGTAGAAGTAGGAGGAGTAGAAAAGCTGACCTCTGGAGGGGCTTTTTCAGTTTTGCGTTCACGTTATATATTTGCCAGCTCTTATTGATATGATAGAGTTAAAAACAAAAAACAAAAAAAAAACCTGCAACTAATTTCTTAGACTGGGTGAATCCCAGGGTTTGCTTATTTGTTTATTCCACACATTTCACTGATAATGACTGAGTTGGGGTTAAAAATTAAATGGAGTCTAGTTCTTTCTGCGCTCAAGAATGGTCCTTGGGGAAAGTTTTGGCTTTAAGTTAAGTGGAGGAACTTGCCTAAGGATTGAGACTGTGGTTGGGGACGGTGTTCCTGATGTACTAACCGTTATCCTAGATCGCCTTAGTCTTCCTGCCCTCTAACTTAACTCCCTACTGGTTTCTTTTTAGGTGCAGTATTGAGTCCCATTTGAGTGATCCTTCTTTTTCCCCAAAGAATGGCACTGTCGAAGAGGGAGCTGGATGAGCTGAAACCATGGATAGAGAAGACGGTGAAGAGGGTACTGGGTTTCTCAGAGCCCACAGTGGTCACAGCTGCATTGAACTGTGTGGGGAAGGGCATGGACAAGAAGAAGGCAGCCGGTATATACCTTTCTGAACCTTTTGACCTAGCATTTTGGATGACCCCAAACTCTGCCTGGAACTTCCCCTAAATTCTCCTTCTGTTGGGAACGTGTTAACAAATTTAGGTCAGGCCACATTTTATTCTCTCCTGCAGTATAATGGAAATAGTCTCACTAACTAATTTTGCTTTGCTCTTATTGCTTATTTTTTATATTATTTATGGCATATTTTGAATCTCAGACTGACTCCCTTTGGCCACTGTACTTATATTTATTTAAGAAATATGCTAAAGTCAGACAGGAATATCTTTACATATTCACATTGACATCTAAACAAAGAAGTCTGTTTAAAACACGGGAAAAAGATTGAGGGAGGAAGATTTTGTTAATGGTAGTCGTCCCATCATTTGCTGTTTGAGAAGAGTTAGATTGATTACTCATCCTCAACTTGGATGCTCAACCTAAATAGGTTGCTCTGGCTCTGCTCCTTCCTACTCCAAAAAAACTATAACTGTGTTTTTCCTCATAGGGCAGGCTCATTCGGTGTAAGAGTATTTATGGGAATCCTACAAAGAACTTCAGTAAAACATTTCCCCCCCTTCCTCAGGGATAAATTTCCAGTGCTGATGTCTGTTATGTGCTTCGTATTGAGTTAAGTATTCTTGCATTTCAATTCTATCACTTTTTTTCTCTCACCTGTCAGACCATCTGAAGCCTTTCCTTGATGATTCTACTCTCCGATTTGTGGACAAACTGTTTGAGGCTGTGGAGGAGGGCCGAAGCTCTAGGCATTCCAAGTCTAGCAGTGACAGGAGCAGAAAGCGAGAGCTCAAGGTAGGTGCAGTTCACTACCTGAAGAGTGTGGGAGTGGTTGAAGGGCGATGATGCGGCCACGCTTGCCTTGGGCCGCACCTCCACAGCCACAGTAGAGTATCAGGTGTTCAGGAGCAGCACTTAGGCATTCACCTAGAGGGGGTGAACTTGTGTTATCACCATCTTATGATGGGAGAATACCTAAACACATCGTGGGTTGGAATAGTCCAAAGACATAATTGGTAGCTGTGTTCTTTTTCATATGTGGTTAGGAGTTTTGCTCTTCATATCTACTTATAGCTCCTTTATTCTCCCTTAACTACTAGCGTAAATTGATTGCTGTAAGATTTTATGCTTTTGTTTACCTGAAGCCTAGTATGTTGGTCTACCTGAGCTGTAGACCTCATTGTTGCTCCTTTATAGAGGTTTCTCTGCAGGGGTTTTTTAGATAGAATACCTAAAAAGAACTATTGTTTACGCTTATTATTATGCTTACGCTTCATTATAAAGCATAGCATGGGTCATCTGGCCCCATGAGTTGTGTAGTTAAAGGGCCAGTGCAATAGTCATCAAAAGCCCCTTACTTACTGTGCTTTTAATTTTATAGTCACTAATCAGTCATGGTGACTTTTTTCATATTAGCAGCACAGAGTAGCTAATTTCTGTATCTCATTTCTTTCTGTCTCTCTTTAAAAAAAAAAAAATTTCCGTGACTCCTATCAAACCTTCCAAAGTGCTTTTGATAGCTTGGCTGTCCCCCATTGCTCATCCTGAGGCACAAAGAATGGATAAGTGGTTTCTGCTTGGGCCCTTGGCCAGGCTATGGAACCAAGAGAAACAGACTTACGTGTCTTTTGTGTAGGGCATTGTAGGGTCATTAGAGGAATGAGAGATAGTCTTTCCTTTAAAAGGGTTTGAATTTAAAGTGGAGGAGGGGCAGTAGAATGCAGTCACAAACCATAAAATCTAAACAGTACATTTTACAGTTGCCTTGTGGGCTGACTATAGAATTTCAGACTTATATTGAATTTTGTTATATTTAAGGGGGAATGATTGATCCACAGTATACACAGATCTGTGCAGTGAGGATTATGTTGTCATAAGGCATGCTGCTGTATAAGTGCTGAGGGCATGCTGTGAATGAAGTGACTACATTGGGTGGGATTAATCAAAATGGTTTCTTGAAGGAGGTATCTAGATAGCATTGGGATATGGGTCCCATTTTTGGTCCATTCAGGTCCCCACCCCACACAATATATTATGGGAGAGTCCTTTTTCTTGAACTGTAGGAGTTCCAGGAAGCGCTCGCCCCTGGCTGAGGATATGTCCTTGCAAAACACGAGCCCTCCTAGTGAAGAGGGGATGTCACCCAAAGCCTACCACCGGTGTGTACGTTTGCTTTTTCCCATTGTCCCTTCCAGCTGGCCACTCTTGGTCCTGTTAAATTCACCTTGCAAATTAGTCAGCGTATTTGAGTTCCCATTGTTTGGTGAGAACACAGTGTTTATTGGGGAAGACTGAGGAAAACAGAAAGCCCCTGTCCTGGAAGAACTTAGATGCTAGTGGGAAGAAAGTACTAACATTGAAAGATTTAACACTTGGCAAACAGACTATCAACAGTGTAATTTTAACTTAGTGTGAACCGAGCTCTTAAGTGCTAAGAGGATGTGAAACTAAAAGGTTTGACCAGAGTGGGATGAGGCTGCTGATGAGGAAAACTGCCTGGAGGAGGTGAGTTTTAGGCAGGATTTGGAACAGGGGTTGTGGGAAAGTTGAGGGAGGTCGTTACAATTGTAAGCAGTAGCATTTGCAAAGACCCTGAGATGGGAATATTTTTAAGAACACAGGATGAAATTTGCTTGACTGGAGTAGGAGAATGATGGAGATGGGTCAGATGGTCCACATGGCGGAGGGTCTAGGAGGCCCTGGCTGCTGGCAAGTAGCCATTTGCAAGGTCGTGTCATATTCCCCTGGGAAAAGCCACAGAACGCTGGTAGGGACTAGGGGGAGTCTTCCCGTCTCCCATGGGCAGGGAAACAACTCTTCTTTATTTTGGGTTCCCTCAGGAGGTGTTTGGTGACGACTCTGAGATCTCCAAGGAATCATCAGGAGTGAAGAAGCGGCGGATACCCCGTTTCGAGGAGGTAGAAGAGGAGCCAGAGGTGATCCCTGGGCCTCCATCAGAGAGCCCCGGCATGCTCACTAAGCTTCAGGTTGGTCCTTAGGACTGGAAGCACAGTGATGTATGAGCTGAAGAAGCAGGATGTGTGTGGGTCCAGGTGTATTCTGATCCTGATTTGAAGTAGTATTTATCACTAGGAAGGTTTTATTTCCTGCTTTACATTGCTTTGTTTAACCAGAAGTATTCCAGTTGAGGGCGTTTGAAATAGCATGTACTGAATGCCTGCAACATGACAAGCAATGACCTGTATGTGTCACATACATTATTGTTTGTCCAGTTATCTACCTCATTGGGTAATTGGGAAAATTAATTGAAATAATCAGAACTTGGCTTGATAGCAGAGAAGGATTTCCGAATACAACGCAGTGTAGATAGAATCTACTTATAAATAATTTCAAGTTGACTTCATATTTTTGAACGGAAAGTATCTGTGTTTTTAAAATGGGCACCTAAGCAATTGTGATACCATATGAGCAGTAAATATTTCTTGTACCATCTAAAATTACTTGATGGGAAATAGAATGTATATGTGTATACGTATGTGTGTATTTATGTATGTATTTGCTTATGGATGCATAAAATATTTCTGGAAGGAAAGAAACTGATGATTTTTTTATGGAGAATAGGAGTGGAAGACTTCACAATATACCCATTTCTACTTTTTGCCCCAGGAGCCCTGGTGGCGCAGTGGTTAAGCACTCAGCTGCCAACCAAAAGGTTGGTGGTTGAAACCCACCAATTGCTCCATGGGAGAAAGATGTAGCAGTCTGCTTCCATAAAGATTACAGCCTAGGAAGCCCTATAGGGCAGTTCTACTCTGTCCTGTAGGGTCACTAGGAGTTGGAATTGATTCGATGGCAGTGGGTTTTTATGGTTTGGTACTTTTTGCATTTTGAACTATGTAAATATATCGCCTACTCAAAAAAAAAGTTACAAATAGATTTAAAAAATATCTTGGAGAACCTTGAGATCAGGTCTGTTTTGGAAAATGTGAGTTATTTGACTGCATCCTCAAAGCTTATCATTCTGAACTTATTTAGGACAAAGAAGGGGTTTCCAGAAACGAAGGAGCAGGTCTTCGCACTATAATGTCTGGTGTCCCAAACTAGGAATTCAGGAACCAATTCAGGGAATTCAGGGATTTAAAAACATGTTTAATAATTTACATGGGTTTTATTAGGAGTTTTACATGCATTATTTCAATGCTAACGATAGCTCTGTAAGAAAGATAGTATTTTCCCCCTTGTAGACACTTGGAGCCTAATGTGTCCAAGGTCACACAGGCATTAAGTGGCTCAGTTAAGATCAATGTCAGGTTTTAATCATCAAGCTACCTGATATGCCAGTCCTGCCTTGAGAAGGTGAGTTGAAAAATTCTGGTGCTCATCTGTGGAGACTTAATCTTTACTACTACATTTTCTAGCTTTTGGTACAGGGAGAATATAGAAATTTTTAGATCTTTAGAGAGTTGAGGTGCAGGTAGACACCTGAAAGCTGTTTGGGTTTAGGAACCTGTACGGGTGAAATAAAGAGTAGTAATTAACAGTTTTTCAACTTTTTTTTCCTGGAGGGCAGATCAAACAGATGATGGAGGCAGCAACACGGCAAATCGAGGAGAGGAAGAAACAGCTGAGCTTCATCAGCCCCCCTGCAGCTCAGGTACTGTGCCCGGGTGACGCTAAAAACAAAAATCTTCAGCGCAGGATTGCTTGCTTTCCGCTCAGATGACAGTCCGGAAAGTGATTGCATCTACCACAGTCTCCTATAATCCACCACTCCGTGTCTGTGTGTGTGTCTGTGCGTGTGTCTGTGCGTGTGTGCGTGCGTGTGTACGTGTGTGTGTGTGTGTGTGTGTGTGTGTGTCTTATTTGTCTTCCTCTGATCTCTTTCTCTCTGTCTCACAGGCAAAGACGCCTTCTTCCTCCCAACCAGAGCGCCTTCCAATCGGCAACACCATTCAGCCCTCCCAGGCTGCCACCTTCATGAATGACGCCATCGAGAAGGCGAGGAAAGCCGCTGAACTGCAAGCCCGCATCCAAGCCCAGCTGGCCCTGAAGCCAGGGCTCATTGGCAACGCCAACATGGTGGGCCTGGCCAATCTCCATGCCATGGGCATTGCTCCCCCGTGAGTATCTGCTTCATGGAATCCTTCGTCATTTTAGAAGCTTAAAAAGCAATGAAGAACATTTGAATGTTATTGATTCTCTTCTTCCAAAGAACCTAAATGATTTCTCACGGCTTCATGTTTCTGACATATCAGTAAATACCAACTGAATTTATTCTCTTGTTTTCCTTGTTGCAGGATTTAGTGCCTTTTTTTTTTTTTTTTATTTTCACAATTGCTAGAACTGAGGTTAAGATTATTCATCTAGTATTGGAGCTATGAATAGAACCTGGTCTCCTGTTTTCTAAACCAGAGCTTTATCCATTAGACCACATTGAGTGAGACCAGATTTGGGGGTTCTCTACAACTGGGTAAAGATGATAGACTATTTTTAGCACTTACGATTGGTCTGGTATCCCATGTCTGACTCAAGAATTCAGGAGTAAAGAAAGATAGCATTACAAATTCTCATCACTATAACTTACCAGTTTACTTCATTTGATTGTGATAAATCAGATATCCCGTTTGATGAGTGTTTTCAGTCAACATGTTGTTTTATTTTCTGTTACTTGCTTGCCTTATTGCTCCATAAGGGGTTTATTTGTTTATGGGCTGTTTTTCAGGAAGGTGGAGTTAAAAGATCAAACTAAACCCACACCCCTGATTCTAGATGAGCAGGGCCGCACTGTCGACGCGACAGGCAAAGAGATCGAGCTCACGCACCGCATGCCAACTCTGAAGGCCAATATTCGCGCCGTGAAGAGGGAGCAGTTCAAGCAGCAGCTCAAAGAAAAGCCATCAGAAGACATGGAGTCCAATACATACTTTGACCCCCGGGTTTCAATTGCCCCTTCCCAGCGCCAGAGACGCACTTTTAAATTCCATGACAAAGGCAAATTTGAGAAGATCGCCCAACGATTACGGACAAAGGTATCTATGTGGCTTAGAAATAACCCACCACTTAGGACAAGTTAGGGAGATGACAGAGGAAATTGAACACAACCCTAACATATTGTCAACTCAGTTCTCTGTGTCGTAGGGAATTAGATAAACAGGTAATTTAAAGCAATGAATAATTTTAAAATACTTTATTTATTCCTGGAATTCTTGATTTTTAACTGATTGGTCTTCCTAATTACATTCTGCTTGGGTGGAAGTAAAATTGAGTTTGAAAATCCTTAACATACCCGTGACAGTGGAGGGAAACAATTCAGAAAGTTCTGCATGACAGGAAACGTAGCCTGGAGTTAAATTTACTGCAGAGAATCCACACACCTGGAGAATTGACTTTTTCTTCTCCTTTCTGTCCTCTCAACGTGAGGTGTTCATTGAATTCCGTTTCTCTGTATTTGCTGCAGGCACACACTGGGGTGGAGGGAGAGGTGAGGGTGAGAGGTGTATGTAAATAAACTAAAGGAGAAAATAAAGAACTACATTTTACTCTGAGCTTTCAGAAATTATGACTTCATTGCATTAGATGTGCAGGGCTCAATTAAAAAAAAAAATCCAGATTCTGCTACATCCCTGTTTTCTGTGACTCCTATTTATCTTCCTGTTTTGGTTTATTTTGTCCTTAGGCTCAACTGGAGAAGCTTCAGGCAGAGATCTCACAAGCAGCTCGAAAAACAGGCATCCATACTTCAACTAAGCTGGCCCTCATTGCCCCTAAGAAGGAGTTAAAGGAAGGAGATATCCCTGAAATTGAGTGGTGGGACTCTTACATCATCCCCAATGGTTTTGACCTGTGAGTTTGTTAGTTAATACCCTTTAATAAGACTATAATTTTAACGGGAGAGATGCTGGTCTTGCATGAAATAAAAAATTTAAAATCTAAGAGAAATAGGTAACTGTATACAAGCTAATGTATTTGTAAAGAATATACTGGGTGGGTAACTTTCAGTTATTTGGGTTAATAGAGGAGAAACAGGGTCACAAATAATATAGAAAACAAACCTATAAGTTTTTTATTCTGTTATACATTGTTACTTGTTTTTAGCACGTTTGTTTTCTTAATTACATTCTTATCCTAATAAAAAATGTGTATGTTTCTTGCGGATCCCAGTTGGTAGTATAAAGCAAGCATTCTTAGTTGATGGGGGAAGGGATGGTAAATAAAGCGTATAGGAAACATTTGGAGAGCTTTCACCAGTTCTGCTTCATCATTCTGATGCACGGCTTAGGAGATGGTGTCTCTGCCTCTCTTTAACCTTCCTTCCTCAGCCACTGTTACAGCGATTGTGTTACTAAGGAGAGAGTGTGGTGTCTCAGGGGTGGTAGGTGCAGAAAACATTGAGTAGGACTGGTGTAGAGAGTGCTCCCAATCTTGCCGGGACCCAGTCTTCTCATCTGGAAAATTTTTGTAATAATATAGATGTAAATGCTGAAAGAGGCTAGAATACATTATGGATAGTGGATTTGTGTTTCTGAGACTCCCTCTCAGAAAAATCATCTCTACCCACATATCCTATTTTCCCCTCTTCCTCGAATTTTAGTACAGAGGAAAATCCCAAGAGAGAAGATTATTTTGGAATCACAAATCTTGTTGAACATCCAGCCCAGCTCAGCCCTCCAGGTAACGTAGATTACTCAGTCATGTCTGTTGCGGCGTCACCTAACAGAACTTTCTACGGTAATGGAAATGGTCCGTATCTGTGCTGTCCAGTTTAGTAGTCAGTCTCCGTACGCGACTGCTGAGCACTTGAAAACTGAATTACACTAGTTTTAATTAAATTAATTTAAAAATTTTTAAAGTTCTATTCAGTTTTCATTTAAATTTAAACAGCATGTGTAGCTTGTGGCTACCGTGTTGGACGGCGCAGCTCGAGAGCAGTGAGGCCTGATCCGTCCAGAGATCAGAGTTGGGCTTTTGCTGTCCTGCCGATCCCACCTCCAGTCTTGTGCACCACCACTGAACTCCTGTCTCTCCTGTGATCTTTGTCTTCATCCTTTCTATTGCTTTATCGTTTTTGTAGTAAAAATCTATTGGCTCAGTCAAAAGAGATAGATTTTAGTTGTGGCTGTTTTTAACTAGTTTAATACCTTGGGAAAGTCACTTAGAACACTGAATTTCCTCATAGGGAGGATACAGACTGATCTGTTTTAACGGGTTATGCAGATTATAAAAGATTTTAACACGTTCACCAGACTTGGGATGAGCAGAGGAGATAATACCCCAGTTAGTACATTCACTGGACAGTAGCTCCAGTAAATTTAGAAAAATAGATTGAGATCTTGAGATAATACAGGTTATAATAATCACTGAATTTTACTTAACCAGATTCTACTTGGCCGTTGGAAGTGTGGGTCATTAGAAGAATGTGGGACTTTTTGTTTGTTTGTTTTAAAAGGATGAGTAAATAGGGGTCCAGAGGATTTTTTCCAACCTCTGTAACTCTGATTTTCAAATGGTTTTATAGACATACTGGTTCAGGAGATGGGATTCTAGATACGCCTGCCAACCAACCAACCAGTTTCCATCAATTCTGAAGTCATGGTGGCCCTGTGTGTGTCAGAGTAGAACTGTGCTCCATAGGGTTTTCAATGGCTGGTTTTTCAGAAGTAGATCACCAGGCCTTTCTTTCAAAGCGCCTCTGGATGGACATGAATGTTCAACCTTTTGGTTTAGCAGCTGAGTGCATTAACCATTTGCACCCCCCAAGGACTCCAGATGCCCCTAACTTCCCCCAAATCTTCAGTTAGAGTAACCAGAGCAGCTCCAGTTTTGTTTTCTGTGTTGGCCTTTTGCCACATTTCATTTGATGAAAGGATCAACTACTTAAAGGAAAAATAAGTGAGAACACTACTCAAGAAAGAGAAGAATGCGTTTCTAAACATAACCATACTTCTGGTCTCACACCCTACAAAATAATAACAGTTAGGCTAAAATTCCTTTCCATTTATATTCGTCTCAGTCCCTCTAACACGCTTGTTGCTTGGCACACTCCTCCTCCGCCTCACAGTGGACAACGACACACCAGTGACCCTGGGGGTGTATCTCACCAAGAAGGAACAGAAGAAACTTCGCAGGCAGACAAGGCGGGAAGCTCAGAAGGAACTCCAAGAGAAAGTCAGGCTGGGCCTGATGCCTCCTCCAGAGCCCAAAGGTGCGTGACTGGGAGACATAAGGAAGGGTAGCAGGTCTGTCTTTTTAATTCCGGAAGAACTTTAGCGTTTCCTTGTATCTGGCTGCCTTCTGCTCCGCAGAATCATTCATTGGCTAATTTTTTTTTTTTTAATTTCCTAAGCTCTGTACTGTCTTTGAAGACGAGTCAACATATTCATTGCAGATGTCATTTAAGGCTATTTTTAAGTATTAGTAACTATATAACACTCTGATCTTGATAAATAATGGTCTTAAAGTTCACTAGCTGCCCTCTTTTTAATGACTGCAGTGTGAATCAGGGGCTAGGAAATCTTTTATAACGGTGAGGGTGTGGACTTATTTTTATGGTCTGGTTCTTTTCATCCCTGAAATCTTAGTAGTTGTAGTATTTGGGTATTGTTATGTGCATAATTCTTAATATTAAAAATGAAAATGTAAAAAGAACGAAACTCACCCCTATAGTTTTCATTATCAATCAGTAATATTTTGAGTGAGCACTGTTACATGTATGCTGTTATCAGAGGGAAAGATACCAAAGAAATTATGTTCCTTGTCTTTCACAAATGTTCAAGCAATCTATATGCAGACCAGCTATTTAGATTAACTGTGTGACCTTCCGTTAGTGTTAAGTGCGTGGGCTTGTCAAGGTAGGGGTTTTTGGAGGAAGTGAGTTTTAAGCAGAGATTTGAAGTAGGTGAGCAGTATGAATTGGTAGAGGATATGACAGGTATCCCAGCTGGAGAGGTGACCTAGGAGATTGATCACTGTTCTGTCTCTTGCAGTGAGAATTTCTAATTTGATGCGAGTATTAGGAACAGAAGCTATTCAAGACCCCACGAAGGTAGAAGCCCATGTCAGAGCCCAGATGGCAAAGAGACAGAAGTAAGTGCCATGGGATTGGGTGGAAACCTGGGCAAGTATCTTGCCCAGACTCTCCCTGGGGATCCATATTTGGAGGGAGGGGAGAGTCCTCTGTTGCTCTCTCTTTCCCTCAGCCCTGCCTCTGATCTTCAATGCCTTTCTCACTTGTGGATGTCCTTCCTGTCACGACAGAGCGCATGAAGAGGCCAACGCTGCCCGAAAACTTACAGCAGAACAGAGAAAGGTCAAGAAAATTAAAAAGCTTAAAGAAGACATTTCACAGGGGGTACACATATCTGTATATAGGTAGGTGTCCGTACTGGGCCCGCCTTTCCCATAGAAAGACCAGAATATTTTCCAAGTGCTTGAGGCAGATCACTGTGTTCTAAAAGCATCCCTAACACCAGTCCCTACTCTCTTAATGATGCTGGTGTGAATCAGGATCAGGAAGTCTTATAATGGTGAGGCTAGGGACTTACTTTTATGGTCCAGTTCTTTCATCCCTGAAGTCTTAGTGAACCAGTTATTAGTTCTGAAGAACAAATGAATGAATATACTTGTTCAGGCCAAGCTATGAACTAAGGGTTGTTCGTCCTCTGTGAAGCATAAAATATCATCCTATTTCTCCAGGCATTAAAAATTTCTTTCCTTGGTAGTGATTCTTATCCTGATATATGTCCTACTTATTTTTCTTAATAATCCTTTGATCTCGTCTCCAAAATGCATTTTATAAATTGTAAATATTTTGCTACCTTCGTGTTGATATTTTTATTTTCTTCTTTTATGTTAACACATGTGTACCCTCTGGTTTTTAAATGTGCTTATTTTTATTAATTGGTTCTTTATCATAAAAGTGGGACATTATTATAAATATAGTGAATGCTTATTAAGATTTTAAAAACTCTAACAGTACTGAAGGGCATTTACTGAAAAAGTTTCTTTCCTGTTCCCTGATCCCTTAGCACCACTCTCTATAGGTAGTTGCTATCAACAGTTTTTCATGTATCCTTCTAGAAGAGTTTTATGCATAGCATGGTGACTACATCACAAGCATCTAGAGGGCAAAGAATTTGTAGATCTTTACACTGTCATGTACAATTAGCTTATAAATGTTTTTGCATGATGGTAAATGCCTCTCCCTCATCCTTTGAGTAAATTTTGATTGTCTGCTATTTGTCGTAATTGTCCAATGCCAGAGTCTGAAGAAATATAAGCCAAAGTGGAAATAGTTGTAGACTTAGTTCTACCTTTTAAGCATTTCTATATTTTGTTTACTCCAGAGGCCTTTGTTTTTAGAGAGAAAACCATTTTGGATCCACGCGTTTATTTTGCGTTCCATTCAGGCAGCTACTGATGCTAAAATGAAAGGCATAACTAAACTTTCCCTTCTCCAGAGTTCGCAATTTGAGCAACCCAGCCAAGAAGTTCAAGATTGAGGCCAATGCTGGGCAGCTGTACCTGACGGGGGTGGTGGTACTGCACAAGGATGTCAACGTGGTAGTAGTGGAAGGGGGTGAGTCTGCAAAACAGAGAGACTATCCCCAGACACCTCTAGGCCTAGAAGTAACGAGCATGGTGGGAAAAGGGAGAGAGAGTGAGCCACACGGGGGGAACACCCTGTGCCTCTGTCTCTGTGTTTACTGGAGTTGAAGGCCCCGAGATTTGGCTCCTGGGATTGCTTCAACTCCGTCATTAAGGTTCTGAGCATTAGATGAGCTCAGAGGTTCTCTCCACCCCATCTTCTTAAACAGTTCCGGCAAAAAACCTTCTTCTCTGTTTCCAGGCCCCAAGGCCCAGAAGAAATTTAAGCGTCTTATGCTGCATCGGATAAAGTGGGATGAACAGACCTCAAACACGAAGGGAGATGGTGAATGGGGGCTGGAGGGGGGTGAAGTGGAGGAGCTGTGGGAGGTGGGGCTGGTACATCTGTTCATTCATCTTATTCCCTCCCTCTGACACTCTTGCTAACACTAGATGGTATTCAGGAATTTTAGAAAGACAATTCAGACTGTAAGCCCTGTTAGATATTCACATGATATTTATTATATGCATAATAAAGTTACTGTAACATTTGTTCTATGCATTATGCCAAAAAAAAAAACAAACCTGTTGCCTTTGAGTTGATTCCAACTCATAGCAACCCTATAAGACAGAGTAGAACTGCGCCATAGGGTTTCCGAGGAGTGCCTGGTGGCTTCAAACTGCCGACCTTTTGGTTAGCAGCCGTAGCTCTTAACCAGTATGCCACCAGGGTTTCCATATGCATTACAGCATTTAGTATATGAACTATAAAGTTATTTATCTGTCCTTTAAGGCCTTTCTACCAACTGGTTTCCCTGTCTGCCCAGGATCTGGTGCTGGTTACATGGGTGTGTTTAGTTTGTGAAAATTTATCAAGCTGTGTGTTCATATGTGCAGTGTTGCGTTATATTATTCTTTGATTTTAGAAAGTCTTTTTAAAAGAATTGAAGACAAAGATTTTCAGATAAAAAAAAGCTCTCTGTTTTGATCATGAAAATAGACTTTTCATTCAGTTGCCCAGCTTTATCTTACCTCTTCCTGTATATTTGACATTATCGTTGCCGTCATTCCTCCATCAGTGTTCATTCTTCCTTTCTTTGGAGACCTGGGTTAGCATTTAACATCTGCAGAGAGTCTTAATTTTCTTGACTTTCTCTATCTTTGCCCCTCCTTTACTTTTTGTCCTTGAAGTACTGAAAGTACATTTTTGTTCTATAATTAACTGACCTTTATTTTGCTTTGCAAGTGTTCCTAAGATATTTTCATTTGGTTCTATGTCCCCTCCTCCCCCATTAGATTAAAACTCCATGAGAACAGACTATCCTGTTGCCATCTGCTGCCTAGCTCCCAAAGTGCCTAGAACAAGCTTTTATTTGTTACTGTTTATCTTTTATTTATCCCCTTATTCCCAGTACCTGGCACAGCTTTTGGCACATGGTAGGTGCTCAGAAATGTTTGTTGAATTAATTAACGTTCCTGCTTATTTGGCACTCCCAGTCTAATTTGGGGAAAGCAAAGTGTAATAGAAAAAGGGACATTTGATCCCAACGAAAAGGGTGACATTATTTAAGAGAATTTGGGTAGACCTGAATACTGTTTAGAACCTACATCTGAGGTCTCTAGTTTAAGTCTAGAGTGAGACTTAGCTGTGTTGTCTTTTCCAGACGATGAAGAATCTGATGAGGAAGCAGTGAAGAAGACCAACAAATGTGTGCTGGTCTGGGAGGTAGGTGATTTGCTGTAAAACACTGAAGCAGAACTTCAGCTAATTCCTCATTGTTTCTCCTGTTCAAGTGGAGCAATGGAATGGTAAAAACTTAGCAGTGAATAATCTCTTAAGTAATTCATGTTTCTTTCTGGAATCTATTTTTAAATGGGTGATAACAAATTCTTCTGTTTGTATTTTAACTAAATGGATGAGTATATAGTAGATGCTGTTTGGGGAAGAGCATGGGAAATGCTGGTGGCAGGAATACAGATTTTCTGCTGAGAGTTATTTATTTCACAGTCATGGATATGAAACTTGGAAAGAGAAATAAATTGTGGGATTTTTCTTTATTTAGAGACAGTGAAAGAAGTACTAAACTTAAGAATATAAAATTGGGAGGCTAAGCAGTGCCACTTACTAGCTCTGCAACCTGGCAAGACACTTAACATCAGATTCTGTTGCCTTATCTATAAAATATGTATATTATTATTTGCCCTTCCTACTCTTAATATGTGTTGTGTGTGTATGAACCAAATTAGATAATTATGTGGTAGTGCTTTGTAATATGTGACTAAGTCACTCTTCAAATGGAACTTCTTCAAATTGCAGTGTGTTTAGTTATCCAATTCTTCTATCCTTGAAATCTTCTAAATGAACCAGCATTAGTTCTGAAGAATGAATATACTTGTTCAGGCCAAACTGTGAACTAAAGATTGTTCATCCTTTGTGAAGCATAAAATATCATACTTATGTCTCCAGGAAGCATTAAAATTTCTTTCCTTGATAGTGATTCTTATCCTGATGTATACACTAATTTTTTTTAGTAATCTTTTTATCTTCACTCCAGAATGTGTTCTATACACTGTAAATACTTTGCTACCGTTGTGTTGATTTAATATTTTTATTTTATTCTTTTATGTTAATACATGTGTATCCTCTAGTTTTTTATTATAAAAGTAGTGAATGCTTATTAACATTTCTTTTTTGTTAATATATGTGTGTTCTCTAGTTTTTTATTACAAAATTCCCCTTAGTTCTTTATTCATAAAAGTACATAATCAATGCTTATTAAGATTTTTTTTTTTTTTTTTAATTCTAGTAATACAGAAGGGCATTTACTGAAAAAGTCCCCTCCCCATTCCCTGATCCCTTAGGATCATTCTTTATAGGCACTTGCTATTAGAATTTTTCACGTATCCTTCTGTTTTATCCCAGATTCCTCCAACGTATGCATATAAATTAGGTCATAATAACCTTAATACTTGTTTCTCAGTCTCATAGGTCCCCACCTGCATATTTAGTATCTGAGCCCCTCCTCTCTTCCAAACTCTCTTCATTTATTGCTGAGAGTCCTCAGGAATAGTGAAATTCTCCACCAGCCTCCATATGGTGTCTGCTTCCTGGAAACTTCCTGAGGCTGTACTTTGTGACTGCCCCCTGCTGGTGACTCTGGTGAAAAGGCTGGCACCCAGTACTGTGTCTAGTTCTCTGCGGGTAGTTCCTGGCCCCTCTTACCCCAACTCTGTACTGCTGTCTGTCACGGGGCCCCAAGTCTACTGCTTGGATACAGGTTCTCACTGAGTCTTGACAAAAGAGTTCTTTCAGCTTCTGGCTGTCTAATTCATTTCTTCTTGAAGGCCCAAATCTAGTGCTTGAGACCTGGTAGAAGACAAGGTTATCCCATCCCCTTCCTTCATAGTTCTGTCCTGACTTGCTTCTCCACCCAAGCACCAGAGCACAAAACTACTCCTTCCTTCAGTCAAAAAACTGAAACCCTGATGAATTCCTGAAAACTCATGCAAATAAATCCCACAGGAGCAGAGATTAGAATTGCTTTTACCATAAAATCAGTTCTGTACAGGCACATTGCTATACAGTTGTTACCAGGTCTTATAAAATAATCTTCTGTCTGATTTAAATGAGAAATTGCAGTGTGTTTATTACAGATTTTGTGTGTTTCTCAGGGTACAGCCAAAGACCGGAGCTTTGGGGAGATGAAGTTCAAACAGTGCCCTACAGAGAACATGGCTCGGGAGCATTTCAAAAAGCACGGGGCAGAACACTACTGGGACCTTGCACTAAGTGAATCTGTTCTGGAGTCCGCCGACTGAGACTACTGCAAGCCCTGGCCTCTGCCCACTTCCTTGGTCCCCTCAGTCCTCTCCCTTATTCCACATCCCCTTCCACCCCCACGTGTGTGTGTGATCTCAAGAACTGTGCCAAGCAGACACGGACAGAGGGAGAGCTTCCTCCCTTCTGCCGTCAGCCTGGTGCTTCCCTTTACTCCCCTTCTGTGCATATGATTAAAGAGTTATTTTTAAATTTGGGATGATATTTTTCACACACTCATCAATAGTGGAGTTTGGGTCTTCAGGTGATCTTTTTTCTAGACCTAGCAATTGCTCCAGAAAAAAGCATTTTGTCATTGATACATGTGGGTATGTATTTTTTGAGGTTTAATGAGAATTTCTGATGTCATCTTGGAGCAAGGATAATAAATACTGGTTTTCTTGTAGCAGAATGAAGCAGGAAGAGGTGTTTAGTAGGTAAGGGATGAGGGAGAAATAAGTGTTCATCCTTTAACCTTCAATAGATAGTCATGAAATAGATGGATTATCTCTTTGGGCTAAGTAGTCTTTCCAGGAAGTAAGTTCCTCAAATCAAGGTTTCCACCCATTTCCTTCAGGTTCAAACCTTTGTTGAGAATTTGTATTTCTAACGAGTTCCCTGCTGAGTATTTGCATTTCCACCCCAGATATACTGAATCAGAATCTACATTTTAACAAGGTCCCCAGGTGATTCTTCCAGGGAACTTGTTAGAAATGCAGATTGTTAGCAGGGGTTTGAACCAAACAGTCTCTTTCGAAGCCCTGCCTGGGATGTCTGTTTGAGAATATATGCTGGGGATAAAGTAGGCACAAGGAGAGCCCAAGGAGGAATGCACAGATTGATTTGTAAAGTGGAGTGGGATTCCGGTTTTTAGCCTATTTCTTTTCATTACTAAGTTTAAAACCAAAAAAAAAACCTTTTCTAAAAAACAATATGTACTTTCATTTTTTTCTCTTTTAATAATCTGACTAGATGTGGTTCTGCTTCATTTAATGTTTCTGGTTTGATTTTAGGAATATTGGGATCAGAATAAGTATCCATTGAAGTCCAAAATTCTTACCATACCCATCCTTCTGTTTCTGTTGCCTGGTGAAGATGTATTGGGAATGGACCAAAGACAGGAGTAATTGGAGCCCAAAACTCCCTGCCAGGTGGAGCTTTCTAGGAAGTGGTGTTAGGGAATGGATTCTTGACAAGAAGTTAAAATATTCTATGTTATAAAATTAACATTTTTTAAAAAGTTATGTATTTCAGGTGTGCTCACTGGCGTTCCGATTTTAAGGTGGTATTAGGGAACGCTAGGTTCAAAGAGGAGCCCTGGTGGCGGAGTGTTTAGGTGGAAAGAGGGAGACTGTAAAACGCCTTAAGGAAAAACTAGTACACCTCCTGTCCTTTCTTTAAGAGATAAGCAGACTAATCCAGACAGATGAGGTTTAACTCCTGGAGCTCTTTAAATCTTTGAAAAAGCCTAGATTGCCAGGACACAACTATGAAGTCTCTTGGGTGCTTGTTAGTAATCACTTCTTTAGCTGCAAGACTTGGGAGCTACAGAATTGAACTAGTTTTGGGAATTTCTTGATTAAAGCAAATTTAAGGGGACAATTCATTGTGATAAAAATGGTTGCCTTTGCTTTTATTAAAGGACTTGCCAAAAATATATATATAAATAATTTATATACTATTTCAAGAATATTGATTGTATGAAATCTAAAAAGAATATATACCTCCTAACTTATTGACTATCGTATCCAACATTTTTCATTTACAACAATAGTAAAAAGTCTACTATCGTGCTATTTTGCGAATTAACGACGGACATCTGGCAGTAATGATCGCCGAGGTGCGAGGCGAGAGTAATGCTAGCTGTGATGGTTAAGGTAATGTGTCAGCTTGGCTTGGCCATGATTCTGTTAGGCACTTGTGTAATGATGTAATTAAGCAGTTATGTAATGATGTAATCTGGCTGTTATGTAATGGTGTAGTCATCCTCCATTTTTGCATAATGGCCTGGTTTTCCAAACCTAACCATGTTGGTAAATGAGGAGTGGGTATACTATAACAGTATCGTGTATTTTATATACACACACACACATACATACATATATATACTATGGTTTATTATCCACCACCCATCTGTCAGTTTGTCATATTATAGCGGCTTGTGTGTTACTGTGATGCCAAAAGCTATGCCATTGGTACATCAAATGCCAGCAGGTTCACCCATGGTGGACAAGTTTCAGCAGAGCTTCCAGACTAAGATTAGGAAGAAAGGCTTGGCCATCTACTTCTAAAAATTATTGTTGTTAGGTGCTGTCAAGTCCGTTCCAATTCATAGCAACCCTATGTGCAGCAGAACAAAACACTACCCAGTCCTGTGCCATCCTCATAATCATGTTTGAGCCATTGCAGCCACTGTGTCAATCCATCTTGATAAAAGTCTTCCTCTTTTTCACTCCCCTCTACCAAGCATGATGTCCTTTTCCAGGGACTGGTCCCTCCTGGTAACATGTCCAAAGTATGTGAGATGAAGTCTCACCATCCTTCTAAGGAGCATTCTGGCTGTACATCTTCTAAGACAGATTTGTTCATTCTTCTGGCACTCCATGATATATTCAATATTCTTCGCCAACACTATAATTCAAAGGCGTCAATTCTGCAGTCTTCCTTATTGTCCAGCTTTCAAATGCATATGGGGCAATTGAAAACACTACGGCCTGGGTCAGCGCACCTTAGTCCTTAAAGTGACATCATTGGTTTTTAACACTTTAAAGAAGTGTTTTGCAGCAGATTGGCCAAATAAAATGCATCCTTTAATTTCCTGACTGCTCCTTCCATGGTTGTGGATTGTGGATCCAAACAAAATGAAATCCTTGACAACTTAAGTCTTTTCTCCATTTATCATGATGTTGCTTATTGATCCAGTTGTGAGGATTTTTGTTTTCTTTATGTGGAGATGTAATCCATACTGAAGGCTGTAGTATTTGATCTTCATCAGTAAGTGCTTCAAGCCCTCTACACTTTCAGCAAGGAAGGTTGTGTCATCTGCATAACACAGGTTGTTAATGAGTCTTCCTCCAATCCTGATGCTCTGTTCTTCTTCATATAGTCCAGCTTCTCGGATTATGTGCTTAGCATACAGATTGAATGAATAAGTATAGTGAAAGGATACAACCCTGATGCACACCTTTCCTGACTTTAAACCATGCAGTATCCCCTTGTTCTGTTAAACGACTGCCTCTTGGTCTAAGTACAGGTTCCTCTTGAGCAATTAAGTGTTCTGGGATTCCCGTTCTTTACAGTGTCATCCATAATTTGTTACGATCCACACAGTCAAATGTCTTTGCATAGTCAACAAAACACAAATAAATGTCTTTCTGGTATTCTCTGTCTTCAGCCAGGGTCCATCTAACATCAGCAATGATATCCCTCATTCCACATCCTCTTCTGAATCCGACTTGAATTTCTGGCAATTCCCTGTCGATTTTCTGCTGCAACTCCTTTTCAATGATCTTCAGCAAAATTTTACTTGTGTGTGATATTAATGATATTGCTGAATAATTTCCACATTCTGTTGGCTCACCTTTCTTTGGAATAGGCACAAATATGGATCTCTTCCAGTCAGTTGGCCAGGTAGCTGTCTTCCACATTTCTTGGCATAGATGAGTAAGCGCTTGCAGCACTGCAGCCATTTGTTGAAACATCTCAACTGGTATTCCGTCAATTCCTGGAGACTTGTTTTTTGCCAGTGTCTTCAGTGCAGCTTAGACTTCTTCCTTCAGTATCATCAGTTCTTGATCATATGCTACCTCCCAAAATGGTTGAATGTTGTCTAATTCTTTCTGGTACAGCAACTGTGTATTCCTTCCATCTTTTGATGCTTCCTGCATCATTTAATATTTTGCCCATAGAATCTTTCAGTATTGCAATTCAAGGCTTGAATTTTTTCTTTAATTCTTTCAGCTTGAGAAATGCCAAGCATGTTCTTCCATTTTGGTTTTCTAACTCCAGGTCTTTGTATATGTCATTATAACGTTTTACTTTGTAGTCTTAAACCGCCCTTTGAAATCTGTTCAGCTCTTTTACTTCATCATTTCTTCTGTTTGTTTCAGCTACTCATTGTTGAAGAGCAAGTTTCAGAGTCTCTTCTGACATCCATTTTAGTCTTGTCTTTGCTTTCTTCATGTGTGATGTCCTGGATGTCATCTCACAACTTGTCTGGTCTTCAGTCAGTAGTGTTCAGTGTGTCAAATCTGTTCTTCAGATGGTCTCTAAATTCAGGTGGGATATAATCAAGGTCGTACTTTGGCTCTCATGGACTTGTTCTAATTTTCTTCAGTTTCATCTTTAACTTGCATATGCGCAATTGATGGTCTGTTCTGTAGTTGGCCCCTGGCCTTGTTCTAACTAATGAAATTGAGCTTCTCCATCATCTCTTTCAACAGATGTAGTCGATTTAATTCCTGTGTATTCCATCTGATGAGGTCCACGCATATAGTCACCGTTTATGTTGTTGAAAGAAGGTATTTGCAGTGAAGAAGTCATTGGTCTTGCAAAATTCTATCATGCAATCTCCCCATCATTTCTGTCACCAAGGCTGTATTTTCCAACTACTGATCCTTTTTCATTTCCAACCTTTGCATTCCAGTCACCAGTAATTATCAATGAATCTTGATTGCATGTTTGATCAATTTCAGACTGCAGAAGTTGGTAAAAATCTTCAGTTTCTTCATCTTTGGCTTTAGTGGTTGGTGCGTAAATTTGAATAATAATTGTATTAACTGCTGGAGATCTCACTTTAGTCTTGCTTCTTAACACTTCAAAGAGGTCTTTTGCAGCAGATTTGCCCAGTGCAATGTGTCTTTTGATTTCTTGACTGCTGCTTCCATGAGTGTTGATTGTGGATCCAAGTAAAATGAAATCCTTGACAACTTAAGTCTTTTCTCCATTTATCATGATGTTGCTTATTGGTCCAGTTGTGAGAATTTTTATTTTCTTTATACTGATGTGTAATCCATACTGAAGTCTGGGGTCTTTGATCTTCATCAATAAGTGCTTCAAGTCCTGTTCACTTTTAGCAAGCGAGGTTGTGTCATCTGCATAATGCAGGTTGTTAATGAGTCTTCCTCCAATCCTGATGCCCCATTCTTCATATAGTCCTGCTTTTCGGATTATTTGCTCAGCATACAGCTTGAATGAATAAGTATGGTGAAAGGATACAACCCTGACGGACACCTTTGCT